GGTTACTCATTCGAGCTTGTTCGATTGAACTTCTCATCTGCAACCACTGTAGGCTCTTAGTTAATTGGTGGTCCATTTCCAAACTCTACATCTTATTGACTCGAATCTTATTCCGTTAGAACCTGGAGTCGTGTAGAGTTTTGCCTTAACACTAGTGACATTCGAGAGTGGGCAAATTGAATTAGCTTTCTATGATTTGTGGACTGACAGGGGTGGGGTGGGATTTGGTGGGGGAGAGGGGGATATGTTGGGTTATTTAAAGATTGGGCCTATTTTATCGACAATGGGAGCAATATTCAAGGGCAACCCAACCAATAAAGAGAATAATAGTACTAGAGCACATACTCCTACATGAAAATTTGTTTTCAAACTGATCCGCAATAAATTGACCCCCACCCTCTAATTACGTGAACATTTCATGTTAATAAAAGTAACTTAATTGAGGTCATTTAAGGTCAATGAATAGTGCAATAACAGAGAAGACGAATGCATATCTTTTGAATAGATGAATACAACTGTGGCTTTAACTGCTCATGCAAAGAGAAGTTAAGTTGAACATTATTTTCGATTACATACTAGAGAGTGTAAATTACTAAGACTTGGTAGTAAGTGCGTGACTGACAGTAAGTAAAATAGGCTGATTAATAAGTAAATGTCTACTTTGAATGAAATTAGACATTTGGAATAATTAGTTGGAATTGTACTCACCGGCATCCGTGAACGGACAACGGCAGTTGCATCTTCTTCTTCTTCGTCTTCTTCATGTTTTATTGCCTTTCGAAGGAAGAGGGATAATGGCTTGGTGGACTGTTTTAGAGTGGACCTGATGTTGAACTTCTCGGCCATTCGCTTCATGGCATTGTCAATAATTTCATTTCTGCGTGATCGAAAGGTTTTCATTGGGGAAGTGGACTTTGGCTCCAGGTATGGCGATGAGTTGTGGGGACTTTCCTGATTTTCAATCCCATTTGTTGGCATTTGACTGGGTGTTGGGGACGACTGAGGGACAATTTGAATGCACCGGTTAGGTTGTTTTCCTGATGGTAGTATAACGGGGGTTCCATTGGCCCCAGGTGCTTTGACGTTTACCGTTAACGTTAACTAGGTTCATAGGTGCACTTTGAGACACAGCATTATTGGCTGAATAAACATCTTGTAAGTGGTGTTAAGAGTTGATCGTGCACAGCCCAATATGCTACCAGCAAGATGCTTCAACCCATTCAGTCTGTTGGAGACTCGTTCTGCTATTTTAGCAATGTGACTTTTCCATGTTAGCTTTGTGTCAAACTTCATTCCGAAATAAGTAACCGCATTGGTTTTTTCTAGGGTAGTATCCTTGTACGTTAGAATCGGGTTTATGCAGTAACGGGCCAAAGAAAATGTTTGAAATGCAGTTTTCGCAGTGTTGATAATCATTCCATTGTTGTCTATTGAGGAAACGAAAAACGCTTTGTGTGTGTGGGTAGCCCACGTAAAATGGAGATCATCGGAGAAGAACTTTTGATGATATTTTAATGATGAAATATTCAAGTGAAGTTCGTAGTGACTTAGAGGAGCTATTGTCAAGTTAGTCTAAACTGGTCCCATTTCTCTTTATCCTCAACCATCAAAGTTGCATAGAGTGAATGCGCTGTTAGGGAGTTATCACACTCGATCGTGATTTATGCAGTGAACCACTGGAGGTATACAACTGGAAATGCTTAAAGGAAGTTTCCAAAGAGTGAACCCTGGATCGACTGAATAAGTATATGGGAAAATGACGAAATCTTTTGTTTACTCAGACCACAAGGAATAGCACGTGTTTTCAAACTCATCTTTGTTACTCTCGTTGGGATAGTGCGAAAGCACCCAATTTCCATGCTATTTAAACTATTCATGCATCTCAAGATTGATTGCACAGTTCACCTTATGGTTTCCGTGTTTCTCCAATAATTTTTCCATGTTTAACCGAGGTCAGCAGAGGTCAACAAATGCCTCCCAATTTTAGCTTTTCTTATAATGTAATTAAAGGTATAAGGTACATCCCAGATAATTTATTTATCTTAGTGCAATATAAAGATAGGCAATCTGATTGTTCTGATGATGTCGATGTTCTGACCTGAAGTGACCTGCTTTGGTTATTAAATCGCTTTTATGACCAATGGTGTATTTTTGGCACACAATACACCGATACTCTTAATTCCTTTCTTTCAACTTTTGCCGAGATTGTCTCCAGACATGTTGATTTCTTACAAGTAATCAAAATGCACTATCTGCCTCCAGATTTGAGCACCAAAGCACAGCACAACGAAATTGCCCACAATGTAGATTGACATGTTCCTGTTTCAGTATTGTGGATGACATTCTAAAATGTATTTATGCACACAACCACTCATATCTTTGTCAAAATTTAGATGCATCGAAATTATAATGTTAAATTAAATGGTAATCACACGTTAGTAGAGGAAAAGTTACTGATTCTTGCAAGAAAGTCACTCAAGTTAAATGTCGTATATCAAGTTATGTCAATGTGTTTAAACGGTCCCATCAAAATTTCAACGGTTTCCTTATAGTTTTGTGAACTTTGATCAAATCAATAGTAAGAGCAATAATAATTAATTGAAGTCGCGACTTTCCATGATCATTTTGTTCAACTATATGTGCAAATGTGGGAATATAAAAAGTTTTGATAATATAAACATTGCAGTAGTCACCAGTACCTTTTACTTCATTCACTGCGAATCTCGTGCATTCTTTCACCGTTTTGGCGACCAGAAGTAACCCGTCACGTGTTAGATGGTCATCTAAATCTTCAAATGTGCACTGGTTCTGTGACCTAGAATAGGAAGATTGTGTTTTTCTGATAACTATTATTGATCAATGGGATATGAAACTGGCAATCGTCAGAAAGAAGCAAGCAATGAAGTAAGAATAGCACTTTATTTGAACAGCAAAACTGTGTTCGTATTGGCATTTGAGATGTGATTCATTGGGAAATGTTCGATAATTTAAAGTGAGGATCCACTTAACTGTACTTTCGTCCAAGTTGAGACAGATTAGAATTTTGAAAACTTAAATGATCTAGAGTTCACGTGGTAGTTAACTTGTAACTAATTTTTCGAATACCCATATTAAGCCCTTACGTTCCATGTTAGCTTCATGATTAGGATAACGAAAAGAAAGCCATCGCCAATTGATTTCTTAACTTTAAGATAAGAAAAGGATGAGGAGATGGAGTGAGAAAACATCAGATTCCAGTGGCGGTTCATCCTTAACTCCGGTATGCTCAATTGGAAACACGAAGAATGAGAGTGAATCGATTGAAGATGCACTGCCTCCTCCTTCAGAGACTAAGAGTTGTCAAAACAAACTAAACACTGGAAAAATTGTGACATGAAACAATAGTCCCTATGATTTAATAAAAATTGTCTATAGACACATTCTTTGATCAAATATGCCAATTGTCTACCTTAAAACCCTTGCAACTCTTCCTATTACTGTTAAAGTTCATTATCGCTCATGCTAATTCCCCAATTAATCATCAACTTTCAAGCGTGTTGAATTATGCAGTGCCTGACACTTTAATTTAATATTCCAATTTATGTTCGTCTACTTTATTCTTGAGTATTATCCTTCATTCATTTATTTATTTCCAATGACAGGCGTTTTGATTGTTATCATTGGCCCCTTAGCTGACTTCAGTCTTCACAGAGGTGAGGAGCATCAGAGTGAGAAAAAGTGGAGAGTGGGAACAGAAGAGTGATGCACAGATGCAAAAGTGGCTGACAGACAGCACTAAGGCGGAGAAAGTGTAAGATGTGCACTGTGAAGTGGTCGGATATGACATAGAGTGGGGTCATGGTAGTTTGAAGTGAGAATTTAAGTGGCTGTTAATAGACTTTTTGCCGTATGAATATACGTTGCCCAGGGTGCACCACGTGGAGGTAAGTCTATCGCACACCCCTTGTTTTTTTTTATTTTTACTATTACCATTACAATTATAATTATTGTTACCATTATTATCATTATTGAGAAATTGAAAATG